TATTCGCAAAAATGTGAGCCAAGCAAGATCCCATTGTCAGGCCTTGCGTCTGTTCATAAAACTTATTAATAAAGATGAAGTATGTGCTACTCATAGATATATTAAGTATTGTTGGGAGGGACTTTTATTTCGTATGAAAGTGCATGAAGAAGAGATTCGTTGGCCGATCTCACCAGAAGAGGACGGATGAATCCCGTTGTACTGTAGCCGTTTGGCTTTTATACTATGTTCACGTTTACGCAGTCCACGAGCTTTCGTCCATCATTTGATGGACATCTTCAGAGCTGGGTCTCATTCATGTAAAATTGTCACGTTAACACTAGGGCAAGAAGACTATCCGGCTCTATCTTAGCTCTTATATAGACTCAATCAAGCAAAAGAAAATAAAAAAGCTTAGATAAATATAGAGTTGTTTGGCTAATTATCTTTCATACTAATACTGCTACTCTTACTCAAATGTGTGCATCTGTGTATGTGTGTGTGTGTGTGTGTTAGAGTCTATACGCAATACAGGTCCTGAATCAGAAGGATCAATAGAGTAATGTCAGGCTCTGATCATCAAGGCCTAATGACTTAAGAGGGAGCCCTGACCAAGAAAGCGTTAGTCCGTAAGCAAGTATGGTTGATATAATGAGATATGAGCTTGTAAGCATATAAGTCAAGTTACGAAACCATTTGTCCTAACTTCTCAGTCCATGATCATTAACGTTTAACTCCCCAAGGAAAGGCATGACTGGGGCTGCGTAATATGGCACGTCTGGTTTGGTTGATGAGGGAGGAGGTCTCGTGGACTGCGTCAACCTGAAAGTCGTATAAAAGCCAAGCAGCTGAAGTACAACTGGATTCATTCGTTCTCTTCTGGTGAGATCGATCTACGCATCTCTTCTTCATGTACTTTCATATAAAATGAAAGTCCCCCAACAATGTTATCTTAGGAGAGTCATCGAAACTCAATTTCTCTTCGTATCTACAATAGATTAAGTAGCCTTAAGGTTGCTCTTTTGCTCAGATTAGTTTCTTAAATAATATCTGGATGATGATATAGGCTGAGAGCTAGTGCTTCAATAGCCTTCTCAAATGCAATGTTAGTATACAGTTATACCACATCGAAACTCACCAATGGGTCCTCCTCTCGAATACTCTGTTAATCTATTAATCTAACAAATTCATATGAATATTTCTAATACTCAGCCACTTTCCTTATTGTTTGTATAAATATCGTAACATTCTATGCATCACACTTCCCTTATTATTAGCAATCAATCTTAAAGGAGATCTCTCCTTGCGTGTAAGCTAAAGATGCCCTAGCGTCCATTTAAAAAAGTGAATTTTTCACTTTTCAATTTCTTTCCCTGCTCACACAAACGTTAGGCGATTCCGTAATTCTAGCCAAAAGACTATATGTGGGAACCTTAACTAAAGTCTGTATGTTTCTGAGTCATTTAAATGAACTATCATTTTTTCTATATAACTTAACCTATCCATGATGGCCACTGCACCACCTTTATTTGCCTTTAAAACCAATAGATCAGATAGGTGCAGACATCTAGAAATCTTATTCAAGTCAAAACGAGGAATCATTTCTCTTTCCATACTACTCTTAATTTCTTTTAGCAGCTTGTCTTTCAAGTTAATTAATTCAACCAGTATCTGCATAGATTGATCCTCCTCGTTTGGAAAGACGAACTTTAGACCATTTCCAAGAGGTGCTTAATACTATGAATACTTTTGAATCTCTTCACCAAACACTTTCACTCCAAATGCAAGTAAGCTGAACAATTATGAAACAAGAGATCCTTTGAAACCCAACTTTTCTTAGCATATACTTTTCTATTTTCATTATAAAATAAGTTTGTCCTTCTGACTATGATCATTTACGGGTGTTGTATTTTGAACACCTACTTAGGATAACCATTAAAGCCACAGAATTGCATCTGGTAAATGAGATTAGAAAATTTGCTTTAACGGTCTGTGATTTCGTTGAAAAATTACTATGTTACTGCCTCCTAGTAAATTCTTCAACACTCCTTCAAACCGCCCATTGTTTATAACGAATTTTGTTTTTGCACCAAGCATGAAGGTGCCTAAATTTAGTTCCAATCACGGTCAAGTTATTGATAAAGCTGGATCAGGGCAATCCTACAGGCTAAATAGGTCATTCCAGGGACTCCTAGCAAATATTGCCGAATAAGAAGCTAAGCTTTTAGTTACATATTTATCTTTAACTTTATCGACTATTTGTAAAATTCATGCACATGTCTTGTCAAATTTAGGGACCATACACTTGACTTGTATATCTTGTTGTTTTTTTAAATTTTTTCTCAGCATTTTTATTTGTGTAAAACGGTAGTACGTTATAATAGTAACGTCTTATGTGAAATCTTTAAGTTAGCCTCGAAGATGCTTTCATTCCATAATAAGCCTATTTCAATAAAAATATTTACTCTACTCAATGCAAGGTGGACGATTTGTTCCGCGCTGCATCCTTACAGACCTGGATCCAGGCATTTTAGATTCCGTTCGGTGTTCACCGATCGGTCAACTCTTTCGGCCAGACAATTGCGTGGGTGGTATGAGGGGTACCGGTAACAACTGGGCCAAAGGCAAGTACACTGACGGCGCCGAGATCTCAGACGGTGTGATGGACATCATCCGTAAAGAGACGGAAAATTGCGATCAAATCCAGGGCTTCCAGATCACACATTCACTAGGCGGTGGTTGCGGGTCTGGTCTGACCTGCCTCCTAATGCAACAGATCAAGGAAGAGTGGCCTGATCGTATAATCAATACACATTCTGTCTTCCCATCTCCTAAGGTGTGTTCATTTCTCTTTCATTCTCTCTTTATGCGTGCATAAATATCTACATAATGTTAAGCTACATCTTTACGCTCACATGTGCTTCAGATCCACTGCAAAAGAAAGGCTCGACAACTGAAGAGAAGGATGAGTAAAGTTCCACGATTTTCTTCTTAAATCAGACAAAATAAATGTTAGAATCCACATTTCTGCCAGGTGGGCAGGCAAAAGTTAGCCATCATGTTTTTACAGGAACTAAGAGCATTTCCAGCCATGATAAATTGAAAAGTCTGAATTGCCTAATGAAATACTTTGAGCTTAATTTTTTGACTCCAGGTATTCTATTGCTATTAGAGACGAGCAAGAAAACAAAGTAAAAGTTCAAACGTAGATAAAAAGACCAAGATGTTGTGGCATATATTTTGGTTGCAGTTACCTTTCGATGTAAAGTAGTCATTTGACCTAGTTTTCGCAACTTGGTAATATTATCAGAAAGATTTAGGAGAATGCACCTTGTCCGGAGTTCACAGTAGTCATGATAATCTCCAGAGTCAGACCGTTCATTTAATAGAAATCCATAATAAAGAAGTAATGTGCAAGGTGATCCTGGCTCGGAATAGTTGTCAGGAGTTGGGCTGGTGGGGAGCCTTTTTATCCAAGGCCTTCATCCTAAAGCCGTTTAGATCGCCTATGAATCATTGAAAAGAACTTTATGATTGTAGGAAATGGTATTATGGGAGAAAAGTACCAGTTGGACGTTTCACCCATGGAGATTTAGGTTAGGCTAAATAACAGTGCATGTGAAAATAGAATAAAGTAAACTGCTTAACGGGGAGGAATGAGGTGGGGTTGGTCAGAAAATGACTTGCAAAGTACATCCAGTTTACTCGGAATATTGAAACGGCTAAGAGACTATATGGGATGATAATTATGAATACTAAGATGGTGTGGCACTGGGATTTGTTTCAGTCTCTTTATGCTTCATAGAGTCGGTTTAACCCTCTATTATAAACTTGAACGCGCTTAAGAGTAGACATTGAAGGACCCACCACTTACTGAATCTTCTGTTTTCTTTCAGCCCAATGCAGTTCATTTTTCATATGGCTTTATTTTAATTAGTTGCTCACTATTAGATAGCCCAATACCCTTTATGTCCAAATTTGCCTCTGGAGTCTATCGAAACACGCAATGACTCATTGTTAAGGGGCCTTTCATTTCGTATGAAAGTGCACGAAGAAGAGATTCGTATGTTTATCTCACCACAAATATATTCTCACTTCTCTCGTTCGTTTCGAAAGGTTAAGCTTTTATTCTAACGCAGTTTGAGTTATTGTTTGTAGATACTAAGAGTATCTGGATTTGGATGAATCTCCTGAGATAAGATTGTTGGGGGGACTTTCATTTCGTATGAAAGTGCATGAAGAAGATATTCGTAGGTCGATCTCACCAGAAGAGCACGGATGAATCCCGTTGTACTGCAGCCGTTTGGCTTTTATACGACGTTCAGGTTGACGTAATCCACGAGACCTCTTCCCTCGTTTTAAGTGAAAACAGGCTATGCTTTCGTCTATCATATGATGGACATCATAAGAGCTGGAACTCATTCTTGTAAAAGTCTAAAGTAGCACTAGGGCACATTCTATATCGATATGTACCTATTAATACGCGATTCTTAGTTATCACTATATTTATAGGAGGTAAGATAGATCAGAATAGTCTTCTTGACCCTATTTTAAATTAAGACTTTTACAAGAATGAGGCCCACCTCTAATGATCTCCATCATATGATGGACTAATGCTCAGAGCCTTGTTAACCCGAAACGAGGGAGGAGGTCTCGTGGACTGCGTCAACCTAAACGTCGTTTAAATGCCAAACGGCTACAGTACAAAGTGATTGAGCCATTCTCATCTGGTGAGATCGACCTACCAATCTCTTCTCCATGCATTTTCATACGAAATGAAAGTCCCCCAGCAATGTTATCTCAGGAGATTAATCGAAACCCAGTTACTCATCGTATCT